AGTTACAAAGAGTGAATGCTATGATGTGTAAGTTATACATGAATAGAATAAAAATGGTTGTAATTGTCAGTTATCTTCATATTTTTATATCAAAACCTTTCCCAGGTATTGTTAAACAAATCCTAAATCAAAGAATCTAGATTTTAAGTTGGTTTCTCTTCTGCAAGCCCTTGTACCCTTTACCGCTATACCAGTGGAGACATAGACTATAAGAATTTTTTCTCCTTCAGACTAATTAAACTCTGATGACATCAGCTGTATTTTCAGTGCACCTGGTTAAGACTATGAAACTAATTAAATTCTTGAATGATGGGAAATAAAAATTACCAGATTGGTTAGAAACAGGCATTGCAACCTAGTTCCAGAACAATAGAGGAGATGACCAGTCTCATTTTAGATAATGAATGTACTTGAGTTTCACCTGAGTCTAATGAGACACTATTAATGAGGAGCAACTAAGACTTACCTATTTCATTTGAGGCAACATTTCATCACTCCAGGCAGCACCTTCCTAGAAGGTACGTACCCATGTAACTAGGTTGAGACATTTGTGTGGCAGAAGGAAATGACCACCAAGCTTTGGACTTAAAACAAAACTGGGCTCAAATTCTCCCTCTACCAACTACAAGTGGTGTCATCTTTGGCTAGTTGTTTAATTCCTCAGAGTCCGTCCATCTTCACCAATAATATGGGATTTGATTATCTGTCTCAAAAGATACAGGATTAAATGAAATTACTTTTGTCCCGGGGAGTAGCATGTGGGGGCATTTAATAAATGGCGTGTACTTATGTTCATTGCAGCACTATTTACAGTAGCCAAGATATGGAAACAACACAATGCCCAAATAGATGAATGGATTAAAAAGTTGTGATATATTTATACAATGGGTTATTTATTACTCAGTGATCAAAAAAGACAAACACATGCCATTTGTGATGTTGTGGCTAGAACTGGAAGGGATTATGCTAGCTGAAATTAGGCAGAAAGAAAAAGATAAAATACCGGATGGTCTCACTTATATATGGACTATAAAGAAACTGAACAAAAATTCAAGAAGAAGTCAAAACTAGCAAGCTAACCATAGAACTGAGGCATACAGCAGGAGTGGAGGTGTGGGGCAAAATAGGGGAAGAATGAACACAAAGGAATATGGTGATGGTTCATGGGTAATTTGGTGGTGGGAGAACTATAAGGACTACAATAATATAAGAAAAAATTAATTAAAAAATAGTAAAAAATGGAATGTATTCATGGGAGAGTTTCAATAAGGTGAGGAGTGTTGATACTGTTCATTCAACAAATGTTACCTGAATGATGAGTGCCTCATCATTCATTTTTTCCTTCAATTCAGCAAATATTTATTGCATGTCTGTTGTATTCCTCATAATATTCCTATATTCAGCATCTATCAATACATTGAAAAAGGGCCTCCCCAGTGGCGCAGCGGTTGAGCCCTGGGTTGCAAAGCTGCCCGCAGCCTCTGCAGCGCCGGTTCAATCCCCGGCTGCTCCCCAGCCACCGGAGGAGGGTCCCACATGGCGCGCAGACCTCTCCTGCTGCCCACTGCTCCCCTCAACGGTGTACTTCGGTCCTTCTGCCTGCTCTGCTCCCCGCTCTGGCTCTGGTGAATTCTCTCACCCTCCTGTGCTTCTGACTGTACCCAGTGCTTGTATAAATAAATACAAATAAATCTTTAAAAAAAATACATTGAAAAAGACAAAATCAATACCATAGCAAAGCCTACTCAGAAAATAACTATAAACATAATAACAAAAGTTTATGAAAGAAATATATCCTATGGGGTAAAACAACAACAAAAATGTAAAGGGAGTCAAGCGATGAAAGTGGGGAAAGACTGGGTTGTAATTTAGGGAGATGAAGGGAGGACTTGTTGAGCAAAGCTTGGAGGTGTGGGAGCTCGCCACCACCGCACAGATACCTAGAGAAGAGCCTGGGAGGCTGGGTCAACCGCCATTCAGAGATGGTCAAGTTTAATGTACCAGGAACCTTCAGGAAGTACCTGGGAGTCCAGTTATCATGGCCAGCATTCAGTGGAGAGTGGTAAACCAGTCAGAGCTGAGCTGAGATTCTGCCTGTCACTTGCCAGTTGTGCGATCTTTGGGTAGTTGTTTAGTTTCTCTGAGTCTATATGCCTTCATCTATAAAATGAGATTTTCGTATCTGTTCCAAACATCATTCACCCCAATCATCTCTGATGCTAGGATTTGTAGATTGTACTTGAGCAAAGTAGGAACTACTGTTTTATTTTTATTTGGCTGCCATCCACTTCACTGCATATGGCACCCTCTTTCCCTGAACCTGTTCCAATCCTCCAGCATGGTTAGTAGGGGGCAGCTAGGAGATAGGACTGGCCAAAACAGAAGGGCCATTCTAGGATGTGAAAAGAATGAGAGAAATAAACATGAATTTATTCACTCAACCAATAGTTATTGAGCTTCTACTCTGTTCCAGGCACTTATTCCATGGAGAACAAGGTGGAATGTGGCAAGGAGTTTAAATACGGGGGGTAAAAATAAATTTTATCCTTATATGCATCTGTGTCAATACACAGATGTGTGCATGCATGCGTGTGTATACTTTTTCTCATAATTGACTGCTCACCAAACTCATAAATGGCACTTTTGTTGGAGACTACTGGTGAATTGTGGGCTGGAGGTTGAGAGAACACTGAGAGGGCATGGTGGCTTCCTCATGTCAGCTTCTCAAATGTTCCTGGCTGGCTGGGAATGGTACCCTGGAGGAAACACTGAATTCAGTGGCCAAAGGTCTTGGGTTCAATAATAGTCTCTTCAAGTTTTAACATGATGAATAGGGCTTGCATTGAACTCTTTTCAGTTTTATTTTTCTCATTTAAATAATGGAAAGCTCCACATGTCTGCTACCCAAATGTCAAAGGTCAAATGAGGGAAGGCATTTGAAATCATTTGATAAACTATGAGGTGCAGGCTGATAGGAACTGGGGAATGGTCAATTCTATGCTGTAGAAAAGAATGATTTTGGCATTTCTCCACAGAGTAGACATTTGGTGCTAATTTATGTACATTAGTTAATTTCGTTTTGCTGGGGACTCAGATGCGGCTCCCTGATGGATGTGCCATCCATGACAGAATCAAACAGCCACATGGCTCAATACTGTGATCCTTCCAGCGATGGAACTGAAGGAGACAGCCTCTTGAGAGGCACAGGCTTGGCTGACAATTTCAAAGTCAGCTGTTCAAGGAAACCCTGCTGAGACTTAGGAACTGGGATGAGTGGAAAAAAGCCCTTTTTTCTTAAAAACTGTTAGATTCGTTTTCAACCCAGTTCTCTGCTCCTCTGTGCCGCACATTCTAGGCATGTTGGAGTACAGTCGCCCAGTGGTAACTGGGAGTACTGTAGTCTTCTCTCCAAGCTCTGAAGCCATCTGGGCTAGTTGAGAGTGAGAAGGACGAAGTGGCATCCTTTTCAGTAGGAACAAAGCATTTTTAAGAATCAAACTTAAGGCAAGTTCTTGGAGAAAAGAGGAAGATTCAGAAGACAGCCAGATGCTCTGGAATATCATGTGTATCTGGTGATAGCATAAATTGAGGGTGGGTAGGGAAGACTCTAAATCTTAAGCATTACTGAGCCTCATCAAGGACAGGACCAGCTTATCCTATAGCTTCCCAGGCCACACCGTTTACGTAGTGGTCTCACTCGCCATACTGTAAGCTGCTGCTAAATAGGACCAAGTTTTTGATTGTTTTCTATCTCCAGTGCTCACCAGCACTTGGCCTTTCACATTTGTCCAGGCTGAGTATTTGAATGGAATGGTTTTCCTTTTCTATAAACAAGGCTGGGTAGACAAAGAGAGTGATCCCTGAGTTTTTCCCATGGGAAACCTCCATGTTCCTTAATCCTTAAAGCTAGGAGAAAATCTTCATTTGGTTCCAAGACAAAAATTTCTCACTTCTTTGATACCTGTTCATGTTGATGGTGCTTGTTGAGGACTCAGCCGGGACTCCCTGCTAGGTATGCCATGCGTAATAGAATCATCCTTCAGGATGGCACTGAAGGAGACAGCCTCTCCTCTCTCACCAGGAAGCAAACTGTGATCTCTTTCTAGAAGGCAGAGCTTTTAGGGTCACATGGGGTGGCTGGAATGGCCTGCAGGTATTTGTGAGATATGGTTCATTGTAAGCTTCTTGGAGCGGTAAAATATGTGAAAACAGATTTGATAACTATTTAGAAATGTTCCAGTTTATTTGAATGTTCATTGTATGCTTTTGGTTATAAACATCCTGACTTCTATAATGATTTGGGTATATGTATGAAACGCTTATGAATAGCCCCTGCCTCTGGAGTGATCTGGCAAGGCCGTGTTCAGTTCTCCCTGATCTTTCTGTTACAATGTCCTAGTATTAGTTTGCTTTTGTTTTTTTTTTCATTATGGCTTTTTTATCACCAGTGATGTTCTTTGCTTTGCCTGCATTATAAAATATTCATTTTTTTCTGATTTAATTTGCTCTTATATTCTTCCCAGTAACCTTGGAGGCATTTGTAATTTTTAATCTTTACCTTTTAAAATCAGTTATTTGGTGCTTCTGAATAGAAAATGATTTGTTTTACTCAGTTATTTTATATAGTATTCATATCTAATAACTGTCATGATGCTTTCTAATTTTTTAAATTATTAATAAAATATAATTAATCTTATCACTAAGTCTCGAATAGACTCTCCCAAGTTCTTCCCCACGTATCCTAGGTATCTACTTGTTATAATTTTTGTGCATTTTATGACCTGAAAAAGGTAGGGAAATAGTTCTCTAAATTATCTCTGGTGCAAATTTATCACCAGGGAGATTGGATAGAAGTGGAAGGAAAGTTAATGTTGGTGGAAGGCACTCGTTAGAGGATCCTAAGTTGTTACCACTTTTGATTTTAAAATTCTTTGTGCTAAGAGAGTGAAATGATGTTTCACAGTGATGACCCTGTCTGATGGATTGGTTTGTTTCTGCAGATTCATACCTTCCCACCTGGATCTCCTTTGCCTTTTTGAGGAGAGAAGAGATTGAAAGAGGCAGCAGGACCTGAAAAGGTAAATGACACTACCTCAGCCTGCCATACTTTGAAAAGACACATGGTGTTAACAGGTTTCATCATGTCATGCACTTCATGCAATTCATCAAACCACATTTAAATGAAATGTTACTGATAACCCTCCTGTTTAAAAATAATAGAGCAAGTGTTTTTATATTAGATGAAAATGCTTCAACTTCACTTCCATTGATTAAATATGCCTAATACAGGAGTGAAGAAAATGGAGCTGAAATTGAGCTTAGGTTACTCCTTTAGCATGTTACAAGTCTGTGGTGAGGGCTGACTTCTTTTCTTCTTGAAGTGCTGGGGTGAGAGTGACTATGCAGGAAGTATTCCTGCAGTTTTGAATGCCCTGGGGCAGGGAGCTGGGGGACATGGCATGAACTTAGAAATTAGATCACCAGATTTAGTGAATAAAAATGCAGCACATGCAATATTTGTGATATATTTATATTAAAAATATTTTTGAGGAGAGAATTTCCACCTGAATTTCATTGGGCATTCTATTTTTATGTTTATTTACAACACTATGTAAGGTTTAGTTGTATAGCTTCACACCTTTAAAAATGTATGTTACCACACCACACTCACCACCAAACACCAATAATCCTCCCTAACAGTCCATTGTGCCCTCTCCCTGCTTTTCTCCCTAACCCCACCCTCCTCTTAAGATTGCTTCAGTTCTGCAGACAAATTTCAAGGGTTTGTTTTATGTGTTTTTGTCTGTTCTTTGCTTTGTTTTTTATATGCCACATAGCCATGAAATCATCTGGTATTAGCCTTTCTCTTCATTTACTTTGCTTAGTATAATTTCTCCAGTTCCATCCATGCTGATGGCAAGTGATTATCTTTTTTATGACTGAGTGGTATTCCTTTGCGTGTATATATACCACATCTTATTGTAGGGAACTTAGGTTGCTTTGGGAATTCTGTGTTTATCTGGGAACCCTACTTAAGATGGATTGAGGAGAGGGAATAGGGATCTGGTAAAACAGTAAGAAGCAGGAAAAAGGAATCTGCAAACATGTGAGTGAATATATAGTAGACAGATGAAGACAATAATTGCTATACTTGTAATGAGATTTTCATAGGAGATCACAGAACATTCTTGGACAAGGTGCTGATCAGGGAGGGGGGTCTTCAGATGAGATCAGAACTGAGTTTTAAGGAAAACCGGAAATGAAAAGATGGTGATGATTAAAGAAGGACATTCCAGGTAGAACAAAACATGTTCAGAGGCACAGAGGGGTGAGATAACTCTAGTATCCTCCTCCATGAAACCTTTCTGGTTCCAGCCTGAGGGACAACCTTCCTTCCATTGTGCTTTCATAGCCCTTTGATGGTATGTGTATCATCTTGTTCTTGTCATTTCTATTACTGAGATATCCATGATATGAAGGAGGCAGGTTTTGGGACACACACGACACTCATACAGTGTCCTTGTTGAGCAGTAACCCCAGCAGTGGATCTGGTTGAACAGGCTCTGCTTTTGACAGAAGATTGAGAACAACCACAACAAATATATCAACAATTCCTAAGCAATGAGGAGATTTTGCATATATATATGTACTTAAGTAAACACCCAGAATTGATTTATATAACCACAGGCCTTAAGTATCTAGGACTCTTCCCCCTGAGAGAAGTAACAACAGGAAAGTAAACCCGATGGAAAAATAAGTAAAATTCCTTGCATTCCCCAAGATTTATCCTCAGGCAACCCTCACAGCTTAAGTGTATGAGGTAAATTCTCTACTGCAAGTCTCAGCAGTCTACTGCTTTTGAATGTTATCTTTTGGAGGAGAGAGCTTGTCCTCTATCGTGTATGTGATACTTTATCCTGTGCTTGGAGTCCTCTACAGCTTGAAGTTCTTCAACTTATGTGCTGTGCAAATAGATAAATGCCCTTGGGGCACAGAAGCTGAGGAGCCCTGGGTGTGTGTGGGAAGGGAACTTACTGGCTGTCCTCATGCCCTAATTGGTAGGATTGTAAGCATGTGTCACAAAGATTAAAATATGTGTGTGTGTGTGTGTGTGTGTGTGTGTATAAAGATGGTGGCTTCATCTAGTAGCTTTAAGATGTTATAAATTTTCTTTATTGTTTAAAATTCTACTTTCAGTACTTTACCAAGAGTAAGTGGCATTTTTGTTGTGGCTATCTTTGTTCTGTTGGTGGAGGGTGTGGGGGGAAGGCTGTTTGGGGAATTATCTAAGGGTTCAGAGTGGTTTGAGCCATTCAACCCTGGGAGCATTTATCCTTGGCCCTGAAGTTAATGTTGTATGTTGTTTTTCTCTTTCTTTTTCTTTGCACATTTCCTCAAAGTGCTGGCCTTCAAGGATTTTACGTAGACCTCGGAGGACCTATCTATTTTATACCTGACAATGCCCATATTTGGCTCTATGGTCTGCCCAGGAAATTTGCCTTTTTGGGCACAGCACGAAAGCCTGGTCTCCTTGGCCTTTCTTGGACCTGGTGCCACTGTTTGGGGCAGAATGAATACCATGCTTGCTTGCCCATCCCACTCCAGGTTGGTTTGTGCTCTCTTGCGCCACCTGCTGTTACCAGCGTCAAGCACAGTCTTGCCTTTCTCTGGCTTCCAGCAGGAGCCGGAGCCAGAAGCTCAGACCAAGCAGATGCTATTTAGGCTGCCAGAATCCTGTCCTGGTCTTATCTGTGCTGCCTCCACTGGCTCACTAGATCAGAATCCCAAATGTCCCCAGATGACTTGCCTCAAGTCACGCAGACCCTGAGCTCCTTGGCCAAAAGGAGGGAGCCAGCTCTTTTGGGAGTTGGTGACCAGTGACTCCTGCCAGCTTTCTGAATATGTGGTCAGTGGAGGCCAACTTTTGCCTAGCAGTGAACATGCAAATGAATTTCTTTCACAGTGTCAACATACCCATGGCAGTTGTCCTCTAAATGGTTCTCCAATATGCCCCCAACCTGTCCCCTGGTTGGGCCATTTAGTTTTCTCCCAAATTGCTCGGGTATTGAAAACTGTCTTTTTGTTTTTTATTTTTTTGTTTTTAAAGCACTGTGGTCATATCTACACTAAGACAAAATGTGGTGAGTCTAACCAAGGGATCACAAAGAAAGTGGAGATACTGCTTTTTATTAGTTAACTAAATACCCTCATTATTCTCCATTTTAGGTTAAAGTTCATTTAATGGTGGGGATTTATATGTTTGTTTTGTTCCCCATCACTCATAATCTGAGTCATAGTAGGCACTTCGCAAAAGCTTATTGAAATGAACAGATGCATTTTGGTCATCATCTTTCTTGGAAGTCTTTTTTTCTTTCATCTGTCAAATGTAAAAACTGTAAGATCTGAAATTCTGCAAGTTCATTCCTGATTTAAGGACTCCCTCCTCCTCCAAGTAAAACTGACTTGGTAGAAAGAAATGATGAATGATCCTAGCAGTTTCTGCTATTACTCTGGTATGAGTGAGGATGATAACCCTCTGTTATCTTCTGATGGTAAAAAAATGTAGCAGTGTATGTATCAGACGACAGGTGGGTAGATAGGAGATAGAACTTCCTGAAAGCAAAGATAACAGAATATTCTTATAAAACGCAAATGGGGGTTTATGCTGGCAACTGTTTTCTCTAGAACAGTTAATACTGTTCTAGATACAGTGGATACTAGAACAATAGATAGGTACATATCCGTTCAGTTCAAAAAACTTTTACTAAGCCACTATGTTGTTCCAGCAATGACATTGTGTGAGATGCTAGGGTCAAAAAGATTAATAAAGCACAGTACCTGACCACAGAGACAACGGAGAGAAATGATTTCCAAATAAGTTCCTAAAGGCTAAGAAAGAGCTGTATTATGGGAACATAGTGAAGGGTCACTGATTAAAGCTGTGTCATTAGGGAAGGCTTCCTGGAGGAAGTGATGCTTGTTCTGTTATCATTGGGTGAGAGATATCTAGTTGAATAAATATAGTCAGTGCACTCTAGGAAAGTTGAATAGCCAGATTCATTGATGTGGAAACTCTTTCTATCATAGAAAATCCTTTAGCTTTTCTGAGTTGAGTCACCTGGGAAATGCCCTTATCCCATAGGAAATGTCTTATAATCTTGGCTGCAAAAAGGGGCTGAGTTTTCTGTGGCATGTTTGCCTTGTCACCTTATTGGGATAGTCTTTTGGAGATTTAGGAGGGAAGAGGTAAAGGAGGGAATCTTACTTTCCTCTGCATCCAAGAGTCATGGTCTTTTAAGCAGCCTCTCTTCTGCAATATCCAGGGCCCTACAGGACAAGCACATCCTTGGGGCATCAGATCACGTTATTTGGGGGCAGCCTGCATGGCCAAGCTATCTGGAGCCCTTGACCAGACGTTCTCCATGAGATGCAGGAGGGGCAGGGTCGGAGCCTGTGTGGGCTCAAAGACAATAAACGGGCTGTTACCTGGAAACTCTCAGAGTAGCTCCTCTCTGAATTCCACACATTATTTTACCAGGTCCCATTGTGCAGATGGGAAAATTGAGGCTGAAGAACATGGAACTGCTTCCTAGGTCCTGGATCCTAACAGGTGACTCCTATATATTAACAGAGCCTCTTGTTTCTTACTTCATTGCTACAGCTAGCACCTCCCCAGGATGGGAGCCTCTGAGAGGCATTCTTCCCAGAATGTAGCGTTTTTGAAAGGGCAGGCCAGTTAGCAATGGCCAGTTTCCACTGGATGCCCTGCTTATGGGCTGGCATCATAGGATGGGGGCTCCCAGCCTCTTCCAGAAAGGTTGTTCGATCCCAGCCGTGGCAGCTGGTGTCGTCCCTGCCCTGGACCACCATCAGAGAAAGGAATCAAAGGGAAAACAAAGAGTGCAGCGTGGCTGCAGACCTGAGTCCTCCACGCCCACTGGCCTGAGGCGGGCCCCAGCAGGGCTGGTGCCAGGCGCTGTGCTGCTTCTCCGCCCCCTTCCTGGGCCCCACGGCTCATCTGCTTGCTTTCAGAACTCCAGCCATACTGAATGGGTCTTTGTGTGTGCCCCAGGAGCTG